CTGGGGGCGGCGGCGCTAGGGCGAGGGGAGGTGGCCTCCAGTCTCTCCATCCCTCAGCGGCGTTATTCCCCCGGATCTCCCTCCGGAGAGTCCAGCTCTCCCCCGCTGAGCCGGCGCGCTCACCCTGCGAGGGGAGGCTCCCGTCGCCTTCCCGGTTCCGCCTCGCTCACCTCCCGGCCTCGGGGGGCTCTCGGGCCCTTCTGCAGGCACCCCCCAGCCCCGGCTTACTCCCCTTCTTCTGCCCGCCCTTCCTCCCGCCGCAGGCTGCAGCAGGCTTGCTGGTGTTGGCTGGGCCTCCGGCTCCTGGTGTTGGAGGAGGGGAAAGGAGCGATGTCGAGGCAGGAGTCCCGACTGTGGCTGCTTCATCCTCTTTTTAGTACCCTCCGCCCCCTTCATCGCGGCTGTAGGAGGCGAGAGAAAATGGGAAGGGGTTGGGATAAGGCGCCTGTCGGAGTCACTCCCTTCCCAGGGTGAAAATCAATCAGTGCAGTGCGTATGCATTTAATATGTCCACACATGATAGAAAAATCTATTTGAAGAGGCTTTAAAATAACGTGTCTAAATGGTGGTTGTGGGTGTAAATTAACCCTCCCCATTGCACTGTGTGTGGTGCAATCATCTGAGGGCTGCTACTGCTGCCTTCCCTGTGGGTAGAACTGGGATTCCATGGCAGCAGGAGTGAGGGAGTAACTCTGGAAATGTATGGAGGGGGAAGCCATGTTTGATTTATTCCTCCACCAAAGACTGGTGTGATGATCCTTATACTTTCCCCTGCTGCAGTTCATTCTGGACCTATGTGAGCAGCAAAGGCAAGTCCTATTAGAGAAGAGGAAATAAAATGTTGCTGCCAAGACTTAATGCTAGTTGGCTCACTCTTTATTAAGTATCAGAGGATAGGTTTTTTGTAACTTGAAATGGTATTTGTGAGTTTAAAGAGGTAGGGGAACTTAAATTTCCAAGGCCATAGTTACAGCTCATCCCTTGTCTGCTGTTGCTCTGGGAGAGGGGGAGGGAATTTACCACACTTTTTTAGTATATTTATACTTACTGATAGTTCTTTTAAAATATACCTACTAAAAGGAGGGGGCAAATATTCTCAAGAATAGGATCAGTAAATAAATATTGTACTCAAATAGATTTCTGGAAAAAAGCACCTCTTGCTAATAGACCAGTAAGACAAACATGCGGCAGGTATAAACCATTGCCTGTTTCTTGAATATTTTTCTATTGCCTTTTGCATTCAAATTGATTTATAATTATTCTTAAATGTAAGATTGATTGCTGCCCATATGGAAAAACCAGGGTCTCTTGTGAAAGGGAGATAGGTTTGAAATGACTCAAAGAAGACAGCCTCACAGTGTAAGTAAGTGTTTGTGTGGATTTTGCTCAGTCAGCTTGTTAGTAGTTCATGTATTGTTATGTTTAGCAAAGGTCCCTTAAATGTGGAGAATGCTATTAAATCTAATCAAATGAATTTGCTCTTCTCCAATAGCTAATACTGTTGTAGTGGAATCTTTATAAACTAATTGTTGAAATTAACACTTATTGCTGTAGTGCTTTGGAAAAAACAAATGTACCTGAATAAACTGTCCAGTACCACTTAATGAAATTATTTGACCTGTTGGATGTATGGTGAATAAAACCGTTGAGTAATACGAATCAGTTCAAATATGTAATAAAATGTGATTTATGTTGGATTTATATGACAGTGTTGAGCTATAAGGAGCATTGATTGTTTTTTTTAAGTTGATATTAATTGGTCTTTACCCACTCCTGTAGAAATCAGGAATTTCTTGTTAAGGATATGTGAATAATCACTATTACTCTCTCAGAAATATGCAAATGTTGATAGGCTAATAAAACACATTTTTCTACTACCTTAATTAAATGGAAATGTCAAAAAGGAATAAGTAGCATTACATTGTTTCACGACATTGGAATATAGGGGAAATACTAAGGCTGACAGTTCAAAATGATTTTTAGAGTTGAAACTAATCAAATTTAAAAATATAACTAAAGTAAATTGAAACTGCTCTCAAATAATGAAGAGTATAACAGGAATGATGTTACAGAAAACGAAAAAAATTGTAGTATATAATATCTTCATGAGCTTGTAAGCTTTCTCTAAAGTTTGGTATCATTTCAAAGATCAGAATACTATATTACTTTAACTGGTTTCTAAGAGATGGGACTTAATTATTTTAGGCTAGGAACTTAAAAGAAGCTGTGATGTATCTTGTTTAAAAAGGCTTACTGAATTCTAGAACTGCATTCAACAAAACAGTGTAGTAGTTGAGACATCTATTGCTATGTCTCCTTGGTGGTTGACAACATAGCAAGACTTTTCACTTTTGCTTTGAATGTATTGTGTGCCTTTCATGCCACTAGTATTAATATGTATCTAAATCTAGGCCTCAGTCCTGCAATCTGATGTGGACCCTTGTTGTCAATAGGAGCCTATTTACTTCATTGGTACCCCATAGAGGCAAAAGATTGGTGGGTTAGGCCTTAGTGTGTGCCTAAGATGTGTATGTTGTAAATATTATAGCAGCCCTGCTATCTACAGTCATTTTTCTTTCTGATACTTACATAAATTGTGCAACATCATTTTAAATTTAAAGTATAAATATTAAAGACTTGCAAACTTATGCAAATTGCAAGCATTTCCTTCATGGAACTCTGAAGCATCTGACCTATAGGAAAAAATCTCAAATCCCCAGAAGAGATGTACATTGCATTGTGGGATGCAACTCTTCTTAGCTGTTGCCAATGTGATATTCAAGAAGTCTTTTTAATGGAATGAATTTGGTATTCAGTAGAAAATATGACTATTTGCATGTTTGTCTACATTTTTGTACCACACTTATTACTGTATTAACCCGTGCTTATTTAAATCCTCTAATTTCATAACGTTTTTGTAAGGAATAACATGCAAAGACTAATGAGATGGCTGTGTGGCTTGGTGTGCGTTCACCTGTGTATGAGATCTAACTGTGTAGCTTTTGGTGCCTTTTACCTTTAGACCAATGAAAAAATGGAAATATTGAGGCAAAATAAAGTGGATAAACATATCTACTTTTCTAATCTATCTTATTTTCTGGTCAGTAGAGTGGCTTTGAAGCCTGTGTGTGTCCTTATACAAGAGGGCTTGACATCTATAGTTGGCGAAGAGAAGGTGAAATATGATACCCAAGGATGAGTCCTCAAAAGTAGAAGAGACTCAAATTAAAAATTACATATCTAGCAAATTGTGAATGAGTGGCTTTATTTTAAAGTACAAAACAAATAGTTGGGAGATCTTTGTGATTTATGTGTGGTTGAAAACATAAAAGTATATTGAAATGTAAGAGCTGTCCCTTCAATCCATGGAGACATTGTTAACTTCAAAATCCTGTCTCACTTTCTGGCCTTCAGGTAGAAGTAGCACCAAAGATAAGGTGTAATTATACAAAAATCAATTGCTTTTTCTTTCAGATTGCGTTGTACTAGTAACTAGTAGAAAAGAATAAAAATTGGAAAATGTGATAGTAATTTTGGAAAAAAAGACAATGCAGTATATTTGAAGCTTTTTTTAAAATTTTGGCTGACTAGATTTCAAGTTGATAATGATCCTTTAAAACAGGAGTGGGGAAGCTTTTTTGGGTTGGGGGCCGCTGACTCTCAAAAAAATCAATCAGGTGTTGCACACAAGTGAGAGAGAAGAAAACACCTCACTGATGTGGCCTCCAAATGAGGGGAAAGACACTCACCACATTCCCCTTGCCCACCAGAGTCTAGGGGGCTCCAGCCTACTAGACTTTTGTGTGCTCCAGCCCTGCGGTGGGGGCAGCACAAGGAGCTGGAGTGTCAGTGTAGTCTCCTCAATGCTGGGGTGGGCTTGACCCTTGGGGGCTGGATTAAGACAAGCGGGGGGCTGCGTCTGGCCCCTGGGCCTGAGGTTCCCCACCCCTATTTTAAAATGAGCATATTGGGTTTACCCTATTAATTTAGAAAAACAAAACTTTTTTTTTTCCAAAAAATAATCTTTTGAGCACTGTAACCTGCATGAAATTTAAGATAGGATAGGTAGCATGCAGTTACAAACTGACTGCTGTGCTTTGTGTCGTGTATCTATTCTATAGCCTACCTTCTCTTTAAAAAAGGACGAAGTACTGAGAGAGCCAAGAATTCTGGAGTTCAGATGTCTTGTACTTCTCAGTACCCTCTGTCTGTTGATGATAGATGAATGTGTACTACAATGTGTGTCAATGTACTCACAGTCAGCTATCCTATCTCTTACTTTGAAGGGAAAATATGATGGAATATCTATCCAGTAAAATAGTAAATATTTTAAATATGCTTTCTGTTTGTCATAAACAAATACTGGTTAACTGTATTGTACCAAAAACAAATCTTCTGTGGCTGTGTTTTTAATTACAGGCGACCCCCGCACTTATGACCTAATTGGTTCCTAGAAAACTGTTGTAAGTCAAGCCGTCGTAAGTTGAACTCTTATTTCCCATAGGTTCAGTGTTATAAATGATGGTTCCATTCCTGGAAACCCTTTTCATACCCTAAAAATACCAAAATTGAGTACAGAAATGGAGGAAAACTGAACTAAGTAGTTCAAATAATGCACAAAAATAACTAAAAAGTGAAGACCGATGTGACGGAGACACGCATAGTTCAAGCAGCAGCTGCAGACTGGTGAGTCTGACTGACCTTGTGCGTTTCCCGTTTTAGGATGACACCTGGAGTCTGCACCGTACGCCATCGTAAATGCGAACTGCAGACGTAAATTGGGGTTTTTTAGGAGCTATCTTGCATGGAAAAAAATGGTTGTAAATGCAGGGGGTTGTAAATCAGGCAGTCATAAGTCGGGGGTCGCCTGCATTAGAAATAATGTTGTATGGGAGTTGGTTAGAAAAACCTGTGCCATAATGGGCTAGAACATTGAATATTGATATTTTAGAGCATCTGTCTGAACAGTTATTTGCAGAGTTTTGTGCTTTCTTTAACTAGCTAAAAAAATCTGGAAATGTAAAATGTTAGCTTATTCATATTACTAAGCTTTCTAATGTTGGACAGAATTCCTTAGCCTTGGGGCACAGTTGACATAAGCACTGGTATTTGACATAATTTGAAACTAAGCAATAAACTATAAAGGTGGTTTAAGGATTGTAAAGTTACAAGATTTCCTCAACAGGTGGTATCCTGTTTCTTGCCCCCTACTCTGCCACTATCCTTAATTTAGGGTGATCTTTAGTGCCAAAAATCAATTTAACTTCCACTTCTGTAGCACAGACTGTAGCTATTTGGTGTAATGCCTCCCATAGGTAAAACTGGAGGTGTAGGATGAAAGTGAAAAAGTATATTCATAGTGAGGTGTAAAGCATCAGATATTACAGTGGGGTCATGTTAAAGATACCTAGTTAGAAAGCCAAATGGCTAGTTGTCTCCAGGACTGAATTTTTTAAACTGCATGCTCTCTTATGGTGCCTGCCTAAGAAAAGACTTCCATATTTTTCAGTTAATTGCCACTTTTAAAGTCTAATTATTTAAACTTCATCATAAAGAACTCTTAGGTTAAAAGGGCTTTATATAATGGTCTAAAATCTATAATCTGTGTTGTCTATAGAATAGTGGGGGCAACTTGTGACCCATTGGGGTACACTTATATGGCCCACGTGACATTTGGTTTACCATTGCCTATGCACATGATTGCCAGATTGCACTGGTTTTTTTTGTCCACGTTTTTTCCCTGCCTGCATTACTAGTGACACCTACATGCAGTGAGGTGCATGCTGATTGCACACAACATTGCCTGTGA